GAGAGATGACAGGATAAGTGTTTTAGAGAGCAGGAATGAGATTGAGAGAAACAGTCAGAGGATAAAATGAATGGACCGGAGGAAAAAAGAGGAAAGCCGAGTGAAAAGGAGTGGTGGGAGGAGGTATAAAGAGGGGAAGGAAAGAATAGATGACTAAGCAGGTGAGAGGTAGAGAAAAGGAAATAGATTAGTCAACCCTGCTGAGTGAAAGTGGTAGAGGAAATGAAAGAAATGGAAGAGAGGCTATTGCCAAGTCCATTTTTTATAAGCAAAGTCTCTGTAAGGTAAGTCATTTCACTCGGCGGCCATTTTTCTTATGTCTCAGGCAGCTATTTCCAGTCATGCCTCTAAACACATACATATCTTACTGACACCAAACTTTTAAATGGCAGCATATACATCTCCCATATTGTATTTTTCCCCCCATAAAGTCATAAGTTGAACTTTTTTCAACTTACTTCCAGTTGTGTATTTCAGCTACAGCACAACAAAGTTTGATGGACAACTAATTGCAGTTGTCAAATCCCTCCACATACCTGCACAGTACGAAGCGCGCTTGTTCTCTGACATAATGTCATTAATAATCGCTGTAATCAGTTTCTCCTTTAAAATATGTTTCCCCCCCCCCTGTTGATTCCATAGATGTATAAGCGTGAGAGCACGAGAGATTTATTCATTGACATTTTACTTATTTTTGTAAGGGTATAATTATTGAAAACACTTTCTTTGCAGAGAAATGCAATTTCAACTGGTCTACTGTATATTTTAAGCCATTATTTCCAGGTTGATTGTTTTTTCTTAGTAAGATCTGGCAACACTGCTATTGGCTCATATGCCAACAGAAGGTCACTGTCAGTGAGCATGCATACTTTCCTGAACAACGGCATACAGACAGCACAGACCATGACAACAACATCCTCAGTCAACCTGTATTACAATCCTACAGCGGCAATGACGGCCAACCGCACAGTATACATACAGCCATACTGCTTCAAGCACAGTAAACACACTATTATTATGGACAGCTGAGCTGTGTAACTACTGTATGATGAGAGACATTATCATACACAGGACAAATCAAAACAATTTATTCTATGGAAGTCTGAAGTCTGAAAACACAATGACCATGTTTACATGCACATCATAGATTTCTGTTCTGAAAAAGACGTTTACATGTTTTACAACTATTGGAATATTCCTATATACATGTAATCAGCATATTCCAAACTCCTTTTCTTTTCTGGGCATAATAGCGAAGCTCTTGCCAATTATTATGCTGCATTTGAGAATTTTTGGACAATAATTGAATCAACTCATTAATTCTCATTCATGTCTTTTCAATAGCACGATGATTTGCAAAATGTTGGGAATGAGACTCTTGTAATGTAAGCCATGAGATTTATTTTATTGTTTGTAAAATGTTAGTCAAAAATTAAAAAAAATTGTTTTGTTCGTACAGGCAGACATAAATAAATATTCAGTTGAGGTGGATATTCTAAATCGAAATGATGATTAATATAGGAATATGCCAGCTGCCTTATTCAGATTATTAAAGCCAGAATATTGGCTTAATGTTGTTATAGCGCTCAGGTTAATGCATTTATGACACAACTGGAATATGAATAACATGAGAATATTCTTGTGTATGTAAATTCAAATATACAGTATATAAATGTTCAGTTATGGTGGACATTCTGAATTAGGTGTTTACATGACCTACAAATTCTGATTAAGGAATATGCCAGCTACCTTATTCAGATTTCTATAAACCTGAATATTGGCTCTATCTTGTTATATCAAGTTAATAAGTTTAATTGACGCTTGCACAACCGGAATATGATTAGTATCAGCAACGGCTGTTACTCTCTACATGTTTCGGTTGTAAAAAAAAGTGCACTCACAAAGTCACAATAACAGGTTCCTTTGAAAAAACCTCTGTAAGATCTCTTAAAATAACCTCCAAATTGAAACGTTGATAAGATTTTACCCCACAAATGTATGAAGCTGTTTCCCTTTATTCTAGTAATGGACATTACTAGAATGTGTGTTTATAGGGCTGTATGTAGGTGTGTTAATATTTCAGTGGGGATCAGAGCTTCATTCATCATTAGACAGGGACAGATGAGGCTGCTACATCAGTCTTCCCTCAGTCAGAGAAACAAGCCTCTGGCTCCCAGAGCCCTTCATTAATCATTCATCCTGATGAGCTCATGTCTCCTCCAGACAGGTACCATAGAGCCATCGCTCACTCTCCCTCAACCGCGCCATTTTCATTTTGGATGTCCAAAATCTAAAAAGAAATCATGGTGCTACTTTGTTTCATTCTATGGTGTCCTTAAAAAGTACATAGACACTGTACTGTAAAAAATATAATGTTTTTTAAAAAGCTTGGGGTGAGTAATTACGTAAGTAATTAATTATTTTTAAATAATATTTATACTTTTATTCTGCAAGGATGCATTAAATTGAAAAAAGTGACAGTAAAGACATCTATAATGTTACAAAATATTTCTACTTCAAATAAATGCTGAATTTTTTATTCATCAAAGAATCCTGATCCTTAAGCAGCACAACTGTTTTTAACATTGATAATAATAATAAATGTGTCCTGAGCAGCAAATCAACATTTTAGAATGATTTCTAAAGGATCATGTAACACTGAAGGAATAAATTACACTTTAAAATATATTCAAAGAGAAAACAGGTATTTTAAATTGGAAAAATATTTCATAATATTACTGTTTTGTATTTTTATCAAATAAATGCAGCCTTGGTGGAAATAAGAGACTTTTTTTTTTCTTTTCTTTTTTACATTTCCATACACTTTTGAGATACAAGTAGTTTGATAGTAGAAATATTTTTATTTTATTTTAGTATTCTCGTCTTTTATTTGAATATCTTTTGTTTGAAATGCAAGTTGCTTATGTTATCATCATTTGTACAGTTTAATTTAAGTAATGTATTATGTTGCATTTCCCAATAAAGTTACCGGCCAACTGGCTTAGTGCTAATTTAGGATTGTATAACCTATAGACAGACGAACACAAATAGAAAAGAATGTGTAATTTTTGCAGCGTTGCTTGTTTGTTTAATAAAAATGTCACTAAAAGAAAGATCAGAGGTTGTTATATAATTATAGTTGTTCCTCTGAGTTAAAAGCACCAGCATTATTTTATTCTTTTACTCACAATGACAGACGTCAGAGATAAAAAAGAACCTATATGTAGCAGTTTGCATGTCAGACCTTGCGGTTCAGATCAGTTCATTGTTGTGTGCTTTGCTGTGATGAGTGACAATATAAAAACATTCATGACCTCATTTTGTATATCAGAAAATGACACGACACAGATACTTAGATGAGGAGCATTCATGTTGTTCATGGGTATGCCATGCTACACTGCTGTGTAAAAAAACAAGTTCAAAAGCATTGATACTCACACACATCAGGAGGCTTTATGGGATTAAAGGGACACACGCACACACTCACTCATACTCTGTCATAAACAAAACAAAATTACGCCATAAAGGCATATAAACCATATTCCCATGAGATGCATACCAGCATAAGAGTGATCGCAGCAGCAGGTAGGGACGGCGAGATGAGATATGGAGAGAGAGAGAGACAGAGAATGAAGGCAGAGAATAAGGTCACGTTCACACAGTACCACAATATAGTTGTCAGTCTTGTTTGGAGTACTAAATACAGTTATGCTGATAAGATAAATTGACATAAAAGGATTTCCAAAATTGATTTTTAGGGCTGTCAATGCTACCATTTTAATTTAATGCCAATTTTCGTGTTTTGTTCTGCTTTCTAAAGTACAGAAGAGGGTAAGGGCCAAGCAAAAAAAAAAATAATAATACCTTCTCGTGAATAAACTCGTTAAATTACAAGAAAAATGTTGAGAATAAAATCATTACATTTTGAGAAAATAGTTGTTGTGTTTCGAGAATAAAATGCTGAAATAAAATGTTGAAGATAAACACATTAAATTACGAGAAAAAAGTTGTGTTTCGAGAAAAACTCTTTCTCAAAAAATTTTGAGAAAATTAAACGAAATTTAATGATTTATTCTCTAAATTTTATTTCATAATTTTTCTTGAAATTTAACGAGTTTAATCTCACATTATAATGACTTTAATCGCAAGATGGTTTTATTTATTTATTTTTTTAAATATTGCTTGGCCCTAATCCTCTTCCGTATGTAACAGAAACAAAAACAGACACTTCCATAAATCCAAAATCCAAATATAATTTTTTTTCTACCGAGTTATATATATTTTTTATTTAAGAATTTTAAAAAAGAATTATAAAAATATCATATATTTGGGGTTGATTTTTTTTAAGTTGTCTTATTCTCACCAAAGCTGCATTTATTGGATTAAAAATACAGTAAAAACAGCAAAATTGTGAAATATTATTATAGTTTAAAATAACTGTTTTCCATTTGAATATATTTTAAAATGGAATGAATAACTGTGATGGCAATGCTGATTTTAGTGTCACGTGATCTATCAGAAATCATTCTAATATGCTAATAAATTTTTAAATTTTTTAGTTTTGTTTAATATTTTTGCAGAAATGGTGATACATTTTTTTCCAGAATTCTTTGATGAACACCATTTATTTGAAGTAGCTTGATTGTAACTATGTAGAAGTCTTTGCTGTCACTTTTAATCAATTGAATGCATTCCTGCTGAACAAAAGTATTAATTTCTTAAAAAAAAAAAACACTCAAAAAAGGCACTATTGTCTGTAACAATATTTGTGATTATTGGTGATTACTGTTCACATTAAATAAACTAGATAATATTTTATCATTTGATTTGACTTAATAAAAGATTATTATTAATTATTTTGAAATATTTATAATATCTTTAATATTACTTCCCTTTATAATTAATCATAATCATCCTCATAAAATGGTAGAAATCATTTAAAAAAATTTGAATCAAAATCAACAAAGCACTACAAAACTAAAAAAAACACTAAAAGACACAATACAAAGTCCTAATATTTACTCTCGTTACACTATGGTTACCATATCACTACATGCGTTAATCAAGATCTCACAGGTTAAAGAGTATTGAATTCAGATCTATGATTATATTAACAGGACAAATCAGGAGTCACACCTGTTAGTGCACTGACTGTGTGAACGCAGCCTAAGAGAGTTAGAGAGCAGAACAAGTATAAAGATAAAAGAGAGAAGAAAGAAAGAGCACCACGACACACGGCCACGATGTGTGGGTCTATGTAATGGTGGTGAGGACGGGTGAAGGCGTGCTGACGTGACGTCATGGTGGTTGAAGCAGGCCGACACGCAGAAGAGAAGAAAAAAGAGGACAGATACCTACCCTGACCTGCCGCTATCTAGCTACCGACCTGAGGACTGTCCGTCTCTGAGCTCTCAGGCTCTGCTTGAGGCTCACTCGCACCCGGAGACTGCTGGGAGTCTCCAGCCTGGACAAAGAAAGAGAGCGGAGAAGAATGGAGCGGGAAAGGAAAAAGAAATAGAGTGAGAAAAAGAAGAAAGGGACAAGAAAATAAACAGCAGGAAAAGGAAATCCATAGTAAATCCAATAGTTTACATGCTTTTTCCTGCAACGGTAAGAACAAAGAAGCATAGGCAATGCTGTAAATGCACAAAAAAGAGAAAGCATCCATCCATCCATCTATTCATTCATACATTTATTAATCCACCTTTGTCCACCCACACTCTGATGTATTCATAAGTTCCCGCACACACACGGTCACTACCGGAGCTGTGAAAACCCCTCGGTTAGAAAGGCTCCTGTATTGTGCTCCTGCATGAAAAGCTTTGGACTAAAGCATTTTGGATTTTTATGAATATTCCCTCTGGAGCTGCACTCTTAACACCTCATCACAGTTTGTGTGGGTGTGCAGTGACTGACTGAGTGAGTGTGGAGCCCAATGCCATTACAGCTAGAGTGGGGAGACACACACACACACACACCCACACACACACAAGGACTAATTAAACTTTTTGTTCAGCTGAAATATAAAAGAAAGGAGAAAGCCTACACCAAACCCAACCCTAAACCTACCCGATAGTGTTAACAAATGCTAAACTGATATAAAAACACATTTGTAGATGCAACCGTGTCATTTGAACTTACTTATATGCAGATTTGAACCGTTTTGTCGAACTGTAGTTACACGGGATTCGAACCGGAGCTCCTCGCCTCTCAAGTACGTCTCCATACTCCGTGAGCTACCGAACAAACCTACCGTCGATGAAAACCCATTGATATGAAGCTGGATATGTGCGGTGCTAACGTTCAAAAGCATCAGTTTTCAAATCTCCCAGCATATTACCCAGAAAATGACGCTTTATTAATCGAAACTTTGTAAATGTGTGTGAAAAGGAATAAAAGGTGTTTTACTGCCTCTAGTGTTCATTTCTTTTGGAAACTGCAGTGATATGTACTTATTGGTACGTATTTCGCGTCTCGCGAAAATGTGCCCCCGGGTACGTTTTTACCATGAGACCAGGTTGCAACGAGCACTAGTCGGGTTTCCGTGGCATTTTCTGACGAGTCATATCTGATAGAGATCAGCAGAGAGAGAGTGTGTGTATTTGAAATACAGTGGACGTCACCGCTGATGTGGTTACAATGCATCTTAAGCAACCTTTAAAAGGACAGCTCACCCAAAATGACATTTTTGTCATCGTTTACTCACTCTCATGTCATTACACACGTAAAAGCACCATAAAATAGGATGTATGACTTGTTCACTATTTTAGTATGTCTTCTAAAGCCATGTAGTAGCTTTAAACGGATAGTCCGCCCAAAAATGAATATTGTGTCATGTCTGCTGAACACAAAAACATGATATTTTGAAGAATGCTGATACCTAAACAGTTTCTGTTCCCATTGACTTCCATTGTATTTTTATCCATACAATGGAAGTCAATGGGAACAGAAACTGTGTAGGTATATCAACGTTCTGTCACTACATTTAGACTTCCATTGTATTTTTTGTCCATAAAATGAATGTCAGTGGGAATTGAAACTGTTACCAAAATATCTTCAAAGTATCTTCTACTGTGTTAAGAAAGTCATACACATTTGGAATGACATGACATGAGTAAATGGTGAAAATCATCATTTTTGGGTGGACTATCCCTTTAAGTGACCAACATATTAATATCTAACATTATTTATAAGGTAAACTGCTGTGACTGAATCACTGAAATTAGTCTAATCCATGAATAAATGATTGAAAATGGTTTTGTGAACTGGATCAAAGACTAAAAATAATGATTCGTTCATGAACCGAACATCACTACTGAACATTTTGGTCAGTTTAAAACATGAATCTAACATACAGTTTTTAAAGACCCACAATACAAACCATATAAACCACTTTTATGATGACTTTGAATGCTTTTTGAACCTTGAAATCTGCAGTCCATATTCATTGTACTGAAAAGAGTAACTAAACTATTTTCCCTTTGCATTCCATAGAAGAAAGTAAGTCAAAGTTTCAAAGTTGAAACAACATGAGAGTGACTAAATCATGTCAGAATTTTTTTCTCTTATGCATTTCATCTAGAAACTGGTGGATAATATATTTATTTAAGTGCTACATTCTTTATGAGGTGATAAGTCATATGATGAAATATACATATTAAAAGCACTAGGGAAGAATCAGGCTCATTTTTAACAGGTTATGTAATATGCATTTATATTTGAACAATATTAATCAGGTAAGTCTGCAATCTCTATGATCTTTGAGAAGTATCTCTGTGATTAATAAGGTCGTAATGATTGTCTTGACAGTTACGCAAGCTCATTTAACACCTTAATGGGCCCAACAGTGGCTCAGGCAGGGTAGAGGATGCAAAAAAGCATCCAACCTCTCATTTTTATGGTGATACATCAACATATTTTAATACAGCAGAAGACATTTTTATGCTCTTTTTTTGTGCTGTACTCTCAAAGAAGCCAGTGATGTTGAAAGAAACTAAACTTAAACTTTTTTTTAAATTTTTTATTCTGACAGTATTTTGTGTAATAATAAAGCATATGTGGGATCAGAAAAGAGCATATTGGGGATTTTGGATATTGGAATTTTGATGACCACAAAAATACTATAAAAATAGTGATCTAAAATATACATTTTGCCATACACAGTACATGCATATGAATCTTAATTTTGATTTTGATTTTTAAAAATCCATGTACATTCAGTAGTCTATGTTAAGTAGCCAAGTTAAAATGGAACCCTTTAAAACTACATTTCCCACAATCCCATTCAATGGCACTTACAGCATCCTCCTCTCCGCTCCGACTAGGGCTGCCCTCGGCCTCACCAAAAGAGTCATCGGTTGGCGGGTCACTGGCGTGGGATGAGGACTTTGATGGGGAACTCTGCCGGGGGGCCGGGGTGGGTGCTGTACAGAAGCAGAATTTTGGTTAGTACTGGGCCAAACAGAGTCAATCTTACACTTGTTTATTGCATTATCTGATTTAAAGCGTCTGATATGTTGTCGGGTGACGCTAAGAAGGTACAAACATATTTTTCATCCTCTGGGAGAATAACCAAATATCTGTTACTGTCTTATAGGAAGGGCACTGAAATTTTCACACTTACATTAAAGACGAGGCTCATTTTTGATCAATTATACATGAAAACAATGCTCCTTTTGGGGCTCATGCAACCTTAAACTGCTTCAGGAAACCATTTGCTGTCACAGCACAGCGCAGCGAATGCTGAATGGTAGTTGCATTCAGTCAAGGAAATAGTCTTTGTATATCTAAAGTGTTAAATTTCATGTAAGGTTTACAATGGGTCTTTTTCTACTTGGGGGGTTGGGGTTATGAGGCAGGTTTATGGTTAAAAGCTGGAATATACTACACAACTTTTAAAACTGAATTTAAAGATTTGAAAACACCAGCCATCAAACACTTGCCGACTTTGTAAATGGAATGGGCATCACACACTAAACGACTGTGGATCACACACTTTCAAGTCATTTTAGACTTTCAAGTCATTCTGAACACAAGAAACTCAAGCAGAAACAAACACAAACATGTTTAATATTTTCTGATTCAGTGGAATCGGAGTCTGTACCCAACATAAACTACACCATTTCTATGAAAGGCTGAGTAAAAGTTACTTTCTGTTGGTTTGGATTAGTTGATGTGGTCTATGTTTGCTAAAACCACTATACAAATTTAAAAAAGACAATTATTATTTTTAAAAGCAATATTGAAGTGTTTATCATAAATAATTTATCCATGAGCAATGATCAAACAATCAAATCATTTCCCAGTGTACAAAATCCAGTCCTGCTCTACATTTTTGTCTCATTCAAGAAGCCGATTCCTTCAGATAAACATCACAATAGGGAAAAAAGGCTGTCGCAACTTCTGTTTCATGGCAACTCTAAGCCTCTTCAAGTAAAAAAATTCACTTCTATCACCATTCAGTGGCTATTTTGCCTGAAATCTGGAGCGAGCGTCACCTAGGGGAATATATTTTGGGTTTTGCGCACACTAGGCATGATCAGTGTAAGTAAACTTACGCATTTAAGCCCAAAACCTGTCAGAAAGTGTCCTGTGTGGACCCAAAATCCCTTATTGACACCTAATAAATGAGTATGTCTCTCACGGAGGGACTGCTTGTGTGCAAACGTGCGACGGTGTGGCGTTCCGTCGCTGCAATAATTAGCACTACAGGAGCGAGAGGATCCAAACAGGCCCAACACACAGCGCAGGACTCCCTAGAGATCAGTGATAATTACACTGCTCGCCAGAAGCACAGCTGGGCCTGTGACTGACTCTCTCTTTCCCCTGCCGTCGTTCCCCACCACAGTACTAATTGTCATTTTCACGCTGACTAAAGACAATTCCTTCTGGGCAACAGCATCAAAGCCCACCTTTCAACCTCTGAGTGAAAACGGATGTGTTGATGAAAGACGGAATGAGGTGCAAGTTCTGTAGTGGGAAACGGATAAAGTCTGTCTAGCTGTGTCAGCACTCTTAAAGGCTTGCGATGAGAGAGGCGAGAGAGAGAAAGGCATGTGGTGAGATAAACAGCGCAGGACTCCCTAGAGATCAGTGATAATTACACTGCTCGCCAGAAGCACAGCTGGGCCTGTGACTGACTCTCTCTTTCCCCTGCCGTCGTTCCCCACCACAGTACTAATTGTCATTTTCACGCTGACTAAAGACAATTCCTTCTGGGCAACAGCATCAAAGCCCACCTTTCAACCTCTGAGTGAAAACGGATGTGTTGATGAAAGACGGAATGAGGTGCGAGTTTGAAGTTCTGTAGTGGGAAACGGATAAAGTCTGTCTAGCCGTGTCAGCACTCTTAAAGGCTTGCGATGAGAGAGGCGAGAGAGAGAAAGGCATGTGGTGAGATACTAAGTTCCTCTATGTGGGATTTGTTTTCTTTGTTGATGTTCTGTATTTAGGGTCTATGGAGCTTTAGGGTAATGTGATTCTGTTGGTCCTGTACAACATTTCTGATATAAAACTACATCCCTAAACTGATCCCTAAGCCTAACTTTACCATTACCAACCTCTAAAATCATTTTAAAAACATATATTCTGGTCAACTTGCAAAATCTAACGTGTGTATTTCTGACCTGCTCATTTTGCATCACTTGACCCAGAAAAATGTTTTGAATTTTATGCAGTGAAGTAACAAGGAAAATTGCAGCTTTCTAAAGATAATTATGTTTCCAAAGCGAGATATAATCATTATAATGTTGGCAGTTATAAACTTGAGCTGTTGAAATAAATAAATGGAAGTTTGCAACCATTTTAGACATTATCTGATAGATTTGTTCAAACATGTATTAAATAATTAAGACATAAGTGAAAGGTTAATAGAGGTTCCTGTGGCCGCGGAGGCATTCCTGTAGCTAACAATGCTAAAAGTCATATGTTTAAGGCACGCATGAACTAAGAAAATGTAATTGAATGCAGTGTAACACATTTTTGATAAACTACCAAATGCATATAAAATATAAAAATGTAAAATATAGTTAAATGCATATATATATATATATATATATACTGTATAATGCACATATATATAAGATTATATAAGTGTGTTTGTGTGTATACTGTATGCATATAGGTGATATTTTTAATTTTTTGATGTAATCAATATGGTAATGAAAAAAAAAGTCTCATTAGAAGAATTAGACTCCTTAAAAGAAAACCTTTTTGTAGTTTGGCATAATCTTTTATTTTTTTTTCAATAATGCTTGTTGATATTTGAAAAACACTTGTATGCCAAAATCCATATGATGCAACCACCATAAATATGCAGGGAAAAAATCATAAAACAAAAAATGGTATCATACAGCCCTCATGATTATGTCAAGATCCTTTTATGACCCTTTTATGACAAGGCAAGGTAGTCCAGGTTGTAAAATGTCATGTGGTGCAGCTTTTCAAAAGTATACTATTAATTTATTGATTGATTGATTGAAAATAATGATCATGCTGATATGTTCACTCATGTGTATTCAAGTTGTAAGGAAAAATGGCTTTTTATTTGATGGTTAAACCACATGCAATTTTGAACCGGCCAGAACTGACCTGAAACTTTTCCTGAAAATGGTGTAAAAGTTGCACAAAACCATATGATCATATGGTTGCACAAAACCATATGAAACCAACAAAAATAGGGGAAGTCGTGGCCTAATGGTTAGAGAGTCGGACTCGTAATCCAAGGCTGCGGGTTCGAGTCTCGTACCGGCAGGGACTGTAGGTGGGCGGAGTGAATGTACAGCGCTCTCTTCCACCTCTCGCACCTTCAATACCACGAATGAGGTGCTCTTGAGCAAGGCACCGAACCCCCAACAGCTCCCCGGGCGCCGCAGCAAAAAATGGCTGCCCACTGCTCCGGTGTGTGTGTGTTCACTGCTGTGTGTGTGTGTTCACTGCTGTGTGTGTGCACTTTGGATGGGATAAATGCAGAGCACTAATTCTGAGTATGGGTCACCATACTTGGCCACATGTCACGTCACTTTCATATGAGGATTTTATTTGTAAGAACTTCTAACTTTTCTAAAATCAGGTTATTTCAACTCATATCCCCATTTCTACAAGCCCCAACCTTCTGAGTCAAAATCATAGAACGCATTCCACATGTCTGAAACATCCTACTCACGTGAGTTGGTGGAGGGCGTGGTGGAAGTGACGGGCGTGAGGTTCATCTGCGAGATGTCAAAGTCGTCGCAGTCATCAGTATCCTGCGATATTCCCACTCTGCTGAAGTAGCTGGTGAAAGCGTCTGTGGTGCAGGACAGGCTAGGTTGCTCGCTCTTCCTGGCAGGCATGGTGGGCGGCTTTGCCATCTGGAAGTCCTTAAACATCTCCTTGCTCATCTTTGCCTGTCTCTGCAGCATGCGTTCTCCGTGCTGCGGACTGGAGGCCGTGGAGGCCGAGGTTCCCGCCACGGCTCCGCCCATGGCCGCCGCGGGCAATGCCATGGGAGCCAGTGTCTGAAACATGGCAGCAGGAAGCGGACCTACTGTCTGGGCAGGCATGAAAGCGGCAGGCGAAAAGTGAGCCCCTGCCATCGCAGCCCACTGTTGCTGGGTGGCAGGGAAAAGGTTGGCTTGACCCCAGATCAGAGGCTGAGCACCCGGTAAGACCTGCGCGACGGGCACTGGGGATTGGACACCAAATGCTAATGGAGCCTGAGCGGCGAACTGTTGCTGCGCCCATGCGGGCGGCACGGCTCCCATCGTCACGTAACCTAAATGACAGAGACAATGAAATGTTTAGGGTGTGTTTACACAACAACAATTGTACTAAAACCGAAAAAGTTTTGCTTTCGTTCACATGGATCCACAAAAATGACTTGGCATAAAATGCTGTATTATGCATACCCGGCCAGTTGTTGGCGATGTCACTTTGTAAAGAAGCACTACGCCTGGGCAAATATGACTATAGTCTATAGACTGAATACGTAATACACATGCACACGACTTCACCGTTTTCACATTTTCGTAGTTTACGCAGAGACGATAATGGTATTGTTTTTGAAACCCGTTCATAAACACCCACTTTGAAAACCGTTTTCAAAAGTTAGCATTTTCAGGTTCTCAAAACGCCATTGTTGTGTAAATGAACAGCCAAAACGCATAAAAAGTTTTTCGTTTTTAGTTGAAAATGGTGTTATGTAAACACCCCCTTAGTTCACAAAGCTCCATCAAATGAGATTTTCCCACCAAAATGCTCTGGAAAACATGTACACCTCATTACAAGTTGTGCTGTAACCTTTAGCATTTGCTAAAGGACTTTCAGGCTGCCGCCATAGATCTCTTGATGACTGGGGTAAGATGACCTAGATTTTCATAATGAAAAAGGTCTTTATGGCTCAGATGAACTATTGTAATTACTGCTCACAATAGGCCCGGGCTTAATGAATAGCAACGCCCTTTAAAAGAGGCCATTACAACAGTCTCACTCATTTCACACCAAGGCTTATTTCATTACACATCTTGCTCTTTCTTTCCAATGAGTAACGCTGGTTCAAACAATAAAACACCAAATCATATCTTATCTCTATGACATGCCACACGCACTGCAGGAGCGTGTCCGGAACATTCCACTGTGTGGCAGAGAGGTGTGATATCAACTGCAGCTGGGCTGCTCACACAATGGGACGTTGTGATGTTCTTTTATCGTTAAAAATGACCTGGAAACGGTCGCAGATTCTCTGTGTTCTATAGGTGTTGCCATTAGCAAGTTAAGAGAAGAATCTACTGTATTTTCCAGAATATAATGTAAATCGCAGTTTTTAGCATCTGAAACGTGCTTTTACTTATATTCCAAAGGGTTTTATACAATGCATTAACGTCAAACATGCAAAAAAGGTGCGAAACACATTTCCCAGACACCATTACTTGCAGTTTCTCTTTAAATAAATTTGCTTAGGCTTGCTGTTTATAATAAATGTTGTTTATATAATTTATGTTGCTTTTATACTTATATTTCTCATGTTCTGTTTGTTGGATTTGTTGTGGAGTGAGAGGAACTAAAATACATGTGTATAGTGTGCGATGTTTGTAGATGTGTGGCATTTTACACAATTTCTGAATGTAATAATCAAATTTGCCATACTTCGACTAATCTGTTTTCTCAGTGCATTTTTTTTTTTTTTTTACAAAAATATGGTAAACATTTGATAAATTCTGTATTTTTAATTCTCTATATTTATTTATGATACATAATATTAAAATATAAATAGTATAAATTACATTTGTTATTTATTTATTTGACATCAAATTAGAGTTTAAATTGGCATTTTAAAACTGGTTTATTTACACTAAATACCATTTAATTAGAAAAGTCATATTTAACTAAACATGACATTATTTTCTAAATAATTGTAATAAGTAGTGCAACTGTCACACTTGGACTTTTTAACCATCCTGTCAACTGTGAAGTGTTCCCATGGAATTGCAGTAACGGTTTGTGGGTTTCTCAAGGACCAGTGAGTGGCCTGGAGAAGTTCTATATGTGAATTTAAGAAAATTGTGCATGTCCATCATTCAGTCAGGTAGCAATGGTCCGTCTCATCATAGCAGCACACCCCTACACCGGTCTGTGATGGCCCTTGGCAGTCATTTTGAGCTATGGATCCACCATTTAAAAATGGGATGGAAATATGGACTGCCAATCAGGATGCATGGACAGCAAATCCTGGAGCACATCTCTGGTATCCCGTGGATATGTAGAGGATTGGACTACACTAAATGAACTGAATTAATGAATAATTTTCTAATAAAATAAAAGCTTTTTAAAATGTTATTTTATAATGTAACTTTAATAAAAGCTCAAATGCATGCCCTATTTTAAATATAGAATACAGTTAGTCACTATATAGTGATTATGTTCACATACAGCACAGCTTCTTATACAGTAGGTTTCTTAAATAATATCATAATTAAGCAGTGTGCATTCGTTCAGATGATTTATGTTCCATTAGACATACCATTTAAGACAAGTTTCATCCAAAGTGACTTACAATATACTGCCAGCAGGGCCAGACCCCCTAAAGCACTCTGGGGAAAAACTCTCACTTGAAAAAAGCCAGAATGATTTCACAAGGGTGAAAAATGTGCTCATGCTATCATAACTGAACTGTGAGAATCCCATCAGGACAGGAGTGGTGGAGTCAAGCCTGGTGTTTATGAATTTACAACACAGAGGGGAGTTTGACTGAGGGAAGGAATTGAAGACAGATGGGACAGATGATACACTACTTGATTCCACACATATCAATGTTGTACTGTTTACTGTTTCAGAGGAAGTCAATCTGGCTGGAACAGATGTCCCAGGGAGAGCAAAATCACTGCACAGGGGCTATTTGCTTTTAATAACTGGTTCAAATATCATGACGTGAGTGTTCTTGTAGAATTTAAAGTGGTAGCACTTTACAATACAGAGTCCAGCTGTGGGTCAAAGATTAAAAAGGGTTTAAGCATAAAAACAATACGTTTAATACTGCTTTAAATTGTTGTTTTTCCCCAAAAAATTTAAAAAGTTTTCAGTTGAATTTAATTGTTTTTCTGAGCAAAAAATACATATCATACATTTTTCCCTGATTTACAGAAGACACCCACTAAAATGTCATTCAGTGTAACAATCTTGTCAGGCATATTTACAACAAAAATAAATTTATGACATATTAAAAGACTAATTACTTTCACCTCAAATACTAATTAGTTGTAATTTTACCTTTTTATAACTTGCCACTATCCTACACTCTCAGAAAAAAAAGGTACAAAAGCTGTCACTGGGGCGGTACCTTTTCAGAAGGTACACTTTTGTACCTTTTAGGTACTAATATGTACACTTTAGGTACTAATATGTACCTTTAAGGTACCAATATGGACTCTTTAGGTACAAAGTTGTGCCTTTAGAAGAGGTACCACCCCAGTGACAACTTTTTTCTGAGAGTGTAGGTTTTGCCCATTGGTCAGTAAGAACTTTTTACTCATTTAAAACAGAATAAAATTTTATATGCCCCCTTATTCTTTTATATATTTTAATATGTACAAGTCAGAATAAGCATGTTGTTTGATTTTTTACATGAATATTGTGTTTAAATAATGTAAAATATTAAAACACTGAATGACAATATAACATCATTTAAACCAAATTTTGACATTTTATTCTCCAAAAACGTATTTGAAACCTTAAAGGTAGACACTTTACTTACATTTAATGTACTTTCTATGGACATAAAATCACTTTTGTAAATTTCTTTTGATGCGGACATCTTAACGTCTTTGACCCATGTACAAAATGATCAGAATTTTAACAGTAAATGATTGTAAAGATGCTTTGGTAAAAACTTGTTAATTACTTAACAGGATATAGTACAGCGAAAATATTGTCATATATTTAACTGAATCTAAATTGACTGTAATTGTACAGGAAAATATTGTTAAATGTACAATTTTTGAAAGTGAAAAGGATTTAGTGGCATTTTACGTTGTTAAATTTACATTTATTGCAGTATTTTATGTTTGTTAGCATGATGGTGTTTTGTATTTGTGTGCCTGACTCCAACGAAAAATTAGAATTTATCGCAGTAAATAAATAAATAAATATATTTTATTTCAGTAAGCTCACCATTATGTTCCAAACCTGTATAACCTTCTTTTTCTGCAAATCTTATGTGTAAAAGAAGATATTTTGAAGCTGTTTTTGTTAATATAATTAAAGTCAGTGGGGCCCAAAACAACATTTGGCACCAATTTGGACAAAATCATTGAGACACAAAAAAAAGTCATACAGCTTTAAAAAGACATGAGGGTGAGTAAATATGATGAATACAATTTCCCCTTTAATAATGTAGTGTATATAGATTAAAAAAAGTTTAATTAGATTATGCTAAATATATATATATATATATATATATATATATAATTTATTTTTTAATTAAAGCTATGCTTAATACATTGATAGAAGCATAAATACAAATTTTATCATTTAGCTCTATCCGAACTGAATCAACACTGAACTGACGTTTATCATTGTGATGCTCCTTTGACACAATCTGTATTGTATAAAGCACTATATAGTTAAAGGTGACTTAATATGTTTAATTTAATTAAAAAGTGAAAATGGTGATGAAAAACTAAATTCTGTCCATTTGTGGTGCAAAAAACCTTGACTAAGTGGACATAAGGGAAAACATAGCATAATAAAAATGTATGATATGACCCCAGTACAGATGTGCATGTTAAAAAAGACATCATGCATTAAAAAAAACATCACACACATACACACACACACACACACACACACACACACACACACACACACACACACACACACACACACACAGACCAGGTAGGGGTAACACTGTGTCCTCTACAAGGCATTTATCATGCAGATCAGTACAGCAGTCAGTAATGAGAGCATTCATATTCTACAGCAGGAGGACGGGACACCTTATTTAGCCAGAACTAGACAGACACATTATTTAATTTGCATCCGCCCCGTTCCATGTCTCCTTTATCTGTTTTCTTGGTATTATTTTCTTCTGTACACACACATTGTCTGAAAGAGAAATCTGTCCTACCTGAGGGTACAGAGGTGGGGTTGAAGGGGGTGAACAGTTCGGATGGAGTCTGGTGGGCCAGCATGGGGTCCAGAGTATTAGCCGGAGATGCTGGGGTCTGTAGAAGAGGAAAACCATAGCAGTCCAAAGGGAAGCTTTAAAATAAACTACATTTTCTCAACAACTTGCTTAACTGTAAAGTCAGAGTATATGTTTGAAATGGCTTAAAATTCTGTCATCATTTTACTCATCCTCAAGTTGTTCCAAACCCGTATCAGTTTGAACACAAAAGAAGATATTTTGAATAATATGGGTAACTAAGCAGTTGATGGTGCCCATTGACTTCCATAGTATGGAAGAAAAAAAATACTATCAAAGTAAATGGGGACCATCAACTGTTTGGTAACACACAGTCTTCAAAATATCTTCTTTTGTGCTCAGCAGAATAAAGAAGTTCATACAGGTTTGGAACAACTTGAGGGTGAGTAAATGATGACAGAAGTTTCATTTTTATTTAATTAATCTGCAGCAAGGGCGTTTCCTCCGAGGAGGCAAGGGAGGCAATGTCTCCTCAAAAAGTTGGAGGAGAAAATAATCGATATTACAAAAATAAAACAGCGCAAATATGACTAAATATGATAATAAAAGTCTAAAAGTCACTCGTTTTTATAAAGTAACACTGTCCAACAGCGACAGCCGCAGGTAAAGTTACAGTACAGCGGAGGCTTGCCTCCCTTCGGTCCATTGACTTTCTACAGAGACCCCAAAGCGTGCCGTGACTTTACTGAAGGCTCATTGAGATGAATGGGGGAAAGTCACGCGAGAGGAGGCAATGACTCCATCTAGCTATAATTGGATATGATCGGTTATGGTTGAATATGATTGGTTCGTGTGATAAATCCCGCCTCTTGTAGAAGTAGGCTATTGTTTATTCTTAGTTCATGTTAACTAAAGTAGTTAACTAATTTTAACTAATGAAACCTTATTGTAAACTTTTTCCAGAATATTGTTCAAATTGATACTGCCTTTAGTTATTATTTTGGAATAGATATAAAAATGCATAAAAACACTATGAAATGTATAATTAGTATTACAAATATTAAATAAAATAAAAACATAATATTAATAAAATACAAAATAGAATTATATTTGTTCTCTTATTTATGTAATATTTAAATATAAATATATGTTTATATATAAAACTGCCTCCTCATTTTAAAACACCACCGCACGCCACTGATCTGCAGTATACACTGTGTAGTATGCAGTATGATAATATTCCATTCTGAACATACACTTACTATAATATTTTAGCATCTAGAGTCACTCACCGAGGGAGACGTGATATCAGGAGGGGTGGACATGTCTCCAAAAAGCTCTAACTGGTTGATATTCTGCAGATGAAAGAGGAACATTTAACAGCATAAAATGAGACGTGTTTCACCTCAGCACTCATTGCCATGTCAGACTAATCTTTGCCACAGAAAAGTGAACCTACCTTGGGCAAACAGTGGTTTGAATAGACATGTGACTTGAATAATAAATGATAGTGAGTTGTGTAATAAATGACAGCAGTTACGTAAATGATAGTGGGTTCCTATAAAATTACGCAAAAACACAAAGGATGATGATAATGATTCCTGTACCTACCGACCATGTGCAGCAATCTATCCATCCATCCATCCATCCAATTTCATACATTTAACCACAAACCATTTCATGTCTGTCCATACAAGACCATGGATTTGCATTAAATCACATGATGAGTGAATTTCTAGAATTAATTTCCTTCGGATATATTCTGTACTCAGGGTTATTTCTGAACAGGGGCATATCAATCCCACCAGGATTTCACAGGACATTTTTCAGATTTTTGTGCCCCAAAATGTCTGAATTTGCTGCAGCTTCTTTTCAAAGATTGTGGTAACATTTGCACATTTTTATTTTGCAGAAAAACTAAACTAATCATGACATATACTGATGTAACCAGAGGCTTCTTCTTGTTCTTAAAGGCGATGTCATTTCAAACAAAATCAGGCCAAAACGAAGTCTGTTTGTAGTTTGTTCCTGTAACACTTTATAATAACTTTCATTAATAAATCATTAACAAACATTACATAATACTTAACAGACCTTTAGTTAATAAATATTCACAAAGATAGAAATATGAGATAATATGCTTGTTAATGTTTAGTAATGCACGTATTAAACATTATTTAAAAAATAACAGATCACATGTAAATTGAAATTATTACAAATGTCATTAAACTTTTGATTCATATGATGCACTTTAAAAAAAAAATTCTTCAAATTATTTTGACAGTTTACAATGATTAAAAGCGTCATTAATAAATCATTAACAGACATTATATAATGCTTAACAGATCATTAGTTAATGTTTACAAATGTCATTAACCTTTCAATAGATCATGCACTTTGTAAAAATCACAAATTATTTGTACAAATTATTTTTGAAATTACAAATGATTTTAACAGAAATTATAGAATGATTATTGTTCTTTTGAATGCTAACAAATGTCATTAGACTTCATTTCACATATTACCTAATGCTCTTTTTTTACATTTACAAATGTTGTGGAAAAAATAGCTTAATTAGTCATTTTAAGCACTTCACAAACCATTCATGTTAACATATTATTCATTATATGTCTGTAAATGCCATTTATTTGGTCGTCGTTTGTTGTGTAGACTTCTAATTACACTTCTTAACTAATCATTTATTCATGTTTTTGTTGTACTCAATCTAAAGTGGAAACTATTCATCAATTGTAAATGTTTATAAACATTTATTAATCATTAGTACCTTTATGAGCAGTCATCTCAATAGCAAAATGTGTCCTAAATGACCTGTTTGTATTGCCTCAACACATATATGTGACCCTGGACCACAAAACCAGTCATAAGCGTCAATTTTTCGAAATTGAGATTTATACATCATCTGAAAGCTGAATAAAAAAGCGTTCCATTGATGTATGGTTTGTTAGGATAGGACCATATTTGGCCGAGATACAACTATTTGAAAATCTGGAATCTGAGGGTGCAAAAAAAAAATCAAAATATTGAGAAAATCGTCTTTAAAGTTGTCCAAATTAAGTTCTTAGCAATGCATATTACTAATCAAAAATTAAGTTTTAATATATTTACAGTAGGAAATTTACAAAATATCTTCATGAAACATGATCTTTACTTAATATCCTAATGATTTTTGGCATAAAAGAAAAATCAATAATTCTGACCCAACCAATGTATTTTTGGCTATTGCTGCAAATATACCCCAGCGACTTAAGACTGGTTTTGTGGTCCCGGGTCACATATTAGTACACTACTGTATATCATTAAACAGGATATTCCTTGAATCTATGAAGAGTTTATTTGCAAACACAGATATCTCAGTTTTTATAAATTTTCATAAATCATGTTTTTTATTGTGTTATCACGTTTTTATTGTGTTTTATTGCGTTAGCTGTATTTTTTAGTTATTATTATTTAATCAAAACAACCCAACTGCAGTTTGATTGATATTAATTGGAATGTAGGATTTTAAAAAAAATCATGATTTTTGATCATTTTTAAGAAGGAGTTATCTATTTTTGCAAATGAACTCTTCATATCTCAACAAAAGAAAATAAATAAATTTAAAAAAAAAATACTCTATACTTTTATAAATTTGATCAAAACAACGTAGTATAAACAGACTGAACCGTGTTCCGTTATAGTAATCAAATCGACTCAAATTGACTGAAAGCTTTTAATAATTGCATAATATCTGTTAATATCATTTGTAGATTTTCATGATGTGCACGATCATATGAATTAAACGTTTAATGGCATTTGTAACCATTTTAATTTACATGAAATAATTATCGTTAATCATTTGGTAATGAAGTTTATTAGTAAACATTAACAAACAAAATAATTATCTCATGCTTTTAGCTATTTGAATAAAAACAGCAGTCCATAACTTTTTTTTGGTTAAAAATAATCCGAAATAAATATTTGAGCAAGTACATAACCAGTGTTCGAAACTATCACCTTACTGTATGCTATATCGCATGTGAGGATCCTGCAGGTGGCGGATCGTTTATAGCCTTTTCTCACAGCAGCTGGAATAATTAAATGTATCATTTTGATGGCGACTTGTAATCCAGAAAGTATTGTGTGTTTATGAAACACATGTGACTGAAATTAAATTATATTCCAGTTTTAAATGTGCATCTGATTACAGATAGGATACAGATATAGCAATAAGCTATATAAAAGCAATACTTTTCTTTTTGGGTTAAAATAATTTCTTAATATGAAATTTGAATGCTATGACAATTAGAGATTAGACTGTACAGAAATTGAAATCTACACACTAATACACACTATATACACAGTCACGCAATGCTAATGTTGTTAACATTAACAATTTGAGAACAAAGAATAATAATAATAATAATTTGCACGGTTTGATGTGATATGAGCTAACCAATCGTTAGACTTAATCACCATTGGTAGTGTGATTTATTGTAATGCTTTTGTTCTCAGTTGGTCAGAACAAAAGCGGCAGACTTGTTACTTACTAGTTCAGATGACAATATCCTGTGAAAATTCTTATTTGGGTCATACTTTCAAGATGTAGGCTAGAATCTGTGATTCCTCAGTATAGTATCCACACTGGTGTGGTGACTGACAGCCACATATACTCCTCAAAACATCAGATTCATCTGCGCTGGAGCCATGCCTGTGCACAACCCACGCAATAAAGATAATTGTGCAAATAACTGCAATTGCAAGTTTTCAAACAGAGATGGCGACAAAGAGACAAAACTTATGGACTGCAGCTTTAACTAATGATCCGTTAAGCATTATCAGTGTTAATTTTGACAGCAAATTTTGATTTTATACGTTAATACTCGTCAAAACGGACAATTCGACATAATTTTGTGTTTAATTCTCCATTCATGCGACACGAAAGAGTACTCGCGCGCTGAGGGACGCACTTTCTGTGTTTCATTCTTTCAAGCAGACATATTTATTTCTATAAATAAATTTAGATACATTTTTAGGGCTACTAGTTTTTCAGTCAAGAGTAGTGCGTGATTTTCTGTCTTACTTTTGTTGCTTGATTAACATCAATGACTCGGACAATAGCAACTAAATTAGGCTGCTATTCCTTTAAAACCAAATGCACAGCTGCAATGGATGCAATGTACTGATACACTTTCTCCCTACTGTTTACGTTCACTTAAGACGTAATCAACTGTGTTTACGTTAATACTCGTCAAGACAATTCGACATAATTTTGTGTGTAATTCTCCATTCATGCGACACGAAAGAGTACTCGCGCGCTGAGGGACGCACTTTCTGTGTGTGTATGCTTCAGTGTCTGTGCTCAGAAAACCAGACCGAATTGAGTTCTCTCTTGCATCGCCAGATTTATCCTCTTCTCTTACTCCCACATATTGACATTTTTGAACGTTTTATGGGACGTGCAGCAAGTGTATGTTAGCTTATGTCCCGCCGGTTCATATGTAGGCTATGCATCTAACCTCCAAACCACGCAGCAGATTCGTTCTGAATGAAATTCAATGAATCTCTTCCCAAATCGTCCCTCCCTAACATTTTCGTTTCGTTTTTATTCGTTGACGAAAATGTCAATAGATTTACGTCATAGTTTTTGTCATTCAAAAAGAGTTTTAGTTCATTATCGTCTTGTTCGTCGGAGAAAGAAATGTCCTTGAATATTGACATTTTTGAATGTTTTATGCGACGTGCAGCAAGTGTATGTTAGCTTATGTCCCGCCGGTTCATATGTAGGCTATGCATCTAACCTCCGAACCACGCAGCAGATTCGTTCTGAATGAAATTCAATGAATCTCTTCCCAAATCGTCCCTCCCTAACATTTTCGTTTCGTTTTTATTCATTGACGAAAATGTCAATAGATTTACGTCATAGTTTTTGTCATTCAAAAAGAGTTTTAGTTCATTATCGTCTTGTTCGTCGGAGAAAGAAATGTCCTTGACGAAAATTATGACGAAAATTATTCGTCAGCGAAATTAACACTGAGCATTATATAATGTTTGTTAATGATTTATTAATGAAAGTTATTATAAAGTGTTACCGTGTGGGCATGTCAGGATGTTCGCTCTGCAGTGAGTATATCAGGCCTTAAAGCAGACTTTTTTCATTTTTTTTTTTAGGATGATTATTTCACAAGTGGTCAGAGGGCAAATCTAAAAGACCATGACAGTAGTTACAATGGCCAGTACACCTGTTTCTGAACATTTGTGGTTACCGTGTACTTGTTGAGTGTGCTTATCAGAAAACAGAACAGATATTGTGCTGCTAGCGGGGAGCAGCTGAGCATTTTCTGAGCTGTTTAAAGTGACTGGCGCATGACAGAAAAGCTTTTCTACACTGCTTCTAAAAAGCATTTCGTACATCCATTCGCTTGAGGCCGGACCACAGGGATCTTTCCTAAAATTCAGCTCTCTTTGTTCACACCTACATCTACAAAAGGGCTAAAGCACATCTGTGTGTACATTAATGAGGAAAAAAAATTAACTTAAATGATTTTAGCAAATGGCTGCAATATAACAAAGAGTGAAAAATTTAAGGGGGTCTGAATACTTTCCGTACCCACTGTACATCTACAAAAGGGCTAAAGCACATTCTTTATGAAAGAATAATTGCGCTCTCTTCTCTGACTTTACGCTGGCATTTTTTAGTCTCGGCTAGTCTGTCTCTAATAATAAAAAAAATAAAAAAACAGCACACGCAAGAACACGACTATGTGTGTGACCTTTGAAAGCACTGTAAAGTCTTGCGCACATGGTCACACGGGGAGAAGGGCACTCCGGTTTCTCCGGTTTATTTATGAACCGCACGGTTAGCATGGGAACACAAAACCCGACCTATTCAACGGGGTCAGACTGGGGTCATCTATAAGACTTCTGTCATTTGACTATGAAAAAGAAAGGTCAGGTATGAGTAAGTAGACTACTTCCAGGAGACTAATGGAAAAGGTACAAAGCATGAGACGAGGGATTTAGCAGGGCTATAAACTGTTCATAGCGGGTAGCGTGACATTTACTTTCCTGTACTGGGACTCTACTGGAGTCTAGAATGGGCCATAGTGCATTACTTATTAATTTATAGCTAGATTACAGGTAGAGGAGATCATGGGAAGGCCGAGGGCAGGAGTGGAGAAACTTCAGCCAATCATTGTCCACCTTACCTGGGTGACCAGCAACAGGTCAGTGTCTAAATCCAAGAGATCGACTCGTTCGTTATGTTTGTTCTGCAATGATAACATGGTGTTAGATGAAAGATGGGATGAGACACACAGAAAATAAGGTGAAATGAGGTCTGTTTTGGGACGGTGAATGTGAGTAGATGGGATGGATGGTACTTTACCTGTGCAGGTGTGCTTTTTACATTTTACCACATTATCTTTCAAGCGTGCAACAGGTTTGAGCCAAATGCAATGCAAAAACTGACTGTATTTATCTTCACCAACTCGCATTCCACCCCATAGTCCCAAACTGTAATTGGTGGAAGGCGGAATGAAACAAAAAAAATATATTTTTAAAATATTTTTAACCAGCTGCCAGCAGGCTTTAATGGGAAAATAATGTGCTAAAATGGGCGTCTCTTGAGATAACATGGGAAGAGCAAAAGACCATGAACAACAGCTGTTCCCATCTTATTCTGTGCTGCCGAAAAAGCAACACAGGCGAGGAGAGGATCTTATATGAACGGAGAGGATGGCTAGACCATGAAATTGAAAAGAAAACCAAGACCCCTTTCTTCCAACTTGGTTTACTTGGTTAGCCGGATAAAGTGGTGTCATGCATTTCGACAATTATACTTTCGACTGAGAGCACCAATAGAAAAATAAATAAATAAATAAATATTTTTTTTATTGGTGTCTTCAGTCAAAATTATAATAGTTTTTTTTGTGATAACACTGTACAATAAGGATCCATTTGTCAACATAGTAAACTACGTTAAATAAATAAATAAATAAATATTATTAATTAATATTATTATTTTTAATATTATTTAATGGACCTGATATAACATGAACTAATAATGAACAGTTGTATTTTTATACAAAGTTTTTTATATATTTGTATTTTTTATCGGTCAATCACAACTAACACATTAGTTAATGCATTAACTAACATTAACTAATGGGACCTTATTGTAAAGTGTTATCATTTCTTTTTTTAAGGTGTAAAACATTATACAGTATAAATGCCATTAAAATGGGGCCCAAGGGGGCGCATTTTAAAATCCCAACTTAATATAAAAACAGTATAGTGTTTAATAATTAAGAAATATTACAATGTTAATCTAAAAAATATATCTAAATAAACAAATAAGATCATTTTCAGTTTAAAGTGCATGATCTGCAGAAGGTGTGACTTGATTGGCAGACATTCGCATTGATTTCTGCCACAAAAGAAATCACCCAGGCTTCTCATGTTATGCAAAAATTATCCGGCTAACCAAGTAATACCAGATTTAACACTGACAACAAAATATGCACATACAACAACTAGACTAACAGAAAAACAAACACATACATGTAAAACATGCAATACAATCAAGCAAAAGTTGACTCCAGGTCAGTGGATTTGGTTGCAGAAGCAGGTGACACCTGAGATGGTTAAGTCTGAAAGCCTCTCTGGGTTAGCGCTTGCTGTTCTGTGTTAGCACTTAGCTTTAAGAATGAAAGGGTGTTAACGGGAGTCATCTGAGAAAGGTAAGCAGAAATAAGCCACTGCTAGTGACAAGTTATATCTGCTAATGTCGCGGGAATGACTGAATGGACAAACATGAATGACAGCAGAGGTGATGTGAAAGAGAGAAACCAGTTTTGGATTGTGTAGCGTTCTTCACTTAAAGACCACGACGATCAGTTCAGCTGAAACAGAAAAAACTATTAAATGCCTCATGCATAAAACATGAGCAGAACTAATTTCAGTGTTCAGAATTATGCAACAATCTACGTTTACAAACAATTTGGACTCAAATTCGTTCTGCTTGTGTTTCATGAATAAAGGGAACAAAACTACAATTTTGATTTGTTCCCGTCATGTTTTCAGGGTGATGGTGTTCGTCTCACTTTGTTTGAGTTTGAAGGTCATTGAGCTGGAACTGCCGTTCTACATATACTGTGGCCAGTAGCTGAATTAAACGGCTGTAATATTACCGGCCCAAGAGACGTCATCAAATCAATCTCTTTACACACTCTTGGGGATCACCACTGAGGATAATGGGAAAGATGACAGCTGGGCCCCACAGTGATGAACTGTGTCAGTCAAACCGCACTGCATGCTGCTGACACCTTATTACTGATGGATATCATGAGTGCTGATAACCACCTTCTTATCTGTTATTATAGCAAGCTGCCTCTCCTGTGGAAGTGTGACTCACATGATGCATTGTAATTCCATAACTGAAATTACAGTATTTACACTAAACAGTCTCCATGGCAACATTTAGAACAATGCTGAGGGTAAACATTAGTATTTTATGCAACCGTATGAGTCTCTCGCTTATTTTGCCACAATCCATCAGCCTACTTTTCTATCATCGTTATCACTTCAAACGACTATCAATTAACCGTCCCCTCGGAGATAATAATTATCTTCACAGTGTCCTGTGCACTTTTAGTGCTGCCCATTTCATTATGTCCGGAGTGTTAATGTCTTGCGCTCTGACTGATCATATAGCCACAGGCAGGAGACCAACTGGGAAGCACAGCTATGAAATTAAATAATACATGGAGAGGTAGAAGAAAAAAGAACAACACTAACGAGTTATTTAAAGCAATGCTTCAGCATAAATACAGTTTATCAACAAATCACTTCTTAAGTATCCAGAAATATAACGGGGGTATTCAATAAGAATAAATTGTGCCCACTGATAGTGTTGTTTATTTGCACATGCTTTGTTTTCAGTGAAAAGGAAATATGCAAATTAATGAGCAAACATGGCCAAAATGTATTCTAAATGTAGTTCGCGTGATACTTTTGCGAATTTCTGTTGTGAAGGATGCAAAACAAAACAAAACAGAATAAAACTAAATAACACAAAACAAAGAAATCAAACAGATAAAACAGAATAAAACTAAATAACACAAAACAAAGAAATCAAACAGATAAAACAGAATAAAAAACAAAACATAAAAACACAACACAAAACAAGACAAAACCAAACAAAATAAAAACAGAATAAAAAACTAAAATAAAAAATAACATGACAAGACAAAACAAAACAAAACAAAACAAAAAAAACAAGCAGAATAAAATAAAATAAAACAGAAAAACAACAGAAAAAGAAGACAAACCAAACAGAACAAAACAAAACAAAACAAAACAAAAAAACAAAACAAAGAAATCAAACAAAATAAAATAAAAAACATAAAAACAACACAAAACAAGACAAAACAAAACAGAATAAAACAAAAATAACAAAACAAGACATAATTAAACAAAACAAAATGTTAGACAAAACAAAAACAAAAAACGACAATGCAAAAACAACAACAGAAAAACATACAAAATACAACATACAAAAGTGGAGCAACTGTTTAGTGAATATGCCTCATAATGTTTGGCTAAAAAGAATGTACAAGTGCATTTAAAAAAATGCAGAAAAATACATTCGGATCCACAATGTATGTGCAGATGCACAATACAAAACAGATTTACAGCCTAACGGTTCAAAAGCCAATTCTGTAGAGCTGAGGGAGTTATTTTATGAGTTGAAGCTGTGTAGGTTTTGCTTAGACAGGAATGAAAAAGCTGGGGAAGGCAGGATCAAGAGGCCAGACGACTTCGATTGAAATAGGAGAGAGGAAGAAGGCTGAAAATGTGTGCGAGGAAGAGAGAAAAGAGTGAGTAGGTGTTTGAAAACATGATGGAAGAGGCCAGAGGAAGAGATGGCAGACAGTGGCACAAGGTGATATGACGGCTGAGATGAGGAAAATCCAACTGAAACATTATTTACCAGGTCTGGAGAGACCTAAACAACTGAATACTGAGGACAGACTCAACCAACTTCAGGGACTTTGCCAGGGTTGTATGTGTTGTGATGGTGGCTGTGGGGGGTTTAGGCATTTAGCTAAGACTGAATGAACAGAGCAGCTATAACACAAGAGAGGTACAGACAGCAGAGACACTGGCCAGAACATGAAAAGATCAGCCATTTTTACATATCAGAGTGTAAATGCTGAGCCCAAAAGGCCTGACAAAGATTTGTCCACCATTTAAAGAGAGAGAGCAAAATTCCATGCGTGAGCACCAGTCAAAAATTCAGAAGAACGTTTGCCATCTCTCATTTAAATGACTTTATCAGTCAACCCATATAAACTCCACAGACTTTTCATCTTTTATTGTAGATCATGCATGATTCATGGGCATTCATGATATGACATTGAAGGAAAAGTTCACCAAAAATTAAAGTTCTGTCCTGTTGTTTCAAACTTCTATGACTTTAATTCTTCAATGGGACACAAATGGGAAAATATATATATTCTGAAGCTGTTCTAGTTGCTTTTTTCGATCTAAATATCTTCAAAGTGCCATAAAAATACGATTATTGAAGTACATTTTGCAAGAAAATACTATTCCAGTTTTTCTACTTCAAAATGTAACATTTAATTAAATGGTACTTGCAATTTCTTTGTAATTGTTGGTGAAAATTACAAGCAATTTCTGAGGGAAAATTGATTCTGCACAAATTTTTGTTCCAATGTATGACTTGTGTTCAATATTCAGGGCTTTTAGTAAATAATGACTTCAATTTTTGCCTGTTTGCCACATAAAACGATCATGTGATATTGAGTGTGAATCATATGAACAATTTCATGGTGCTTTTATGTTGTTTTCAAAGCTTGAAAGCATGAGACTCATTGACAGTCATTGTTATTGCATGAAAAAGAGTGAGTATATTCTTTAAAATCTCAGTATTCCATGGAAGAAATAACATTATACAGAACTAGAATAACATAAAGGTAAGTATGAGTTTTCATTTTAGGTGAACTATCCCTATTCCATCATGAATGCACCAGCTGTCCTTATCATGGGGTGAAGACAAGCGCACATCATGCAAAACCGACCAATCACGTAATGCCCACCACCCAAACCCAAACTAGATTTTCACAAAGAAAACGATCAGCCATAAAGAAACAAACATATACACAACCAGCCAAAAACACACAAACACCAGGGGAAAATGAAGAGTGCACAGTCTATGCGATTTACTGTAAGCCGGGGAATGAGTGCTGCTGAACTCCTCACAAGACTCGAGACAGGGAGAGGGACATGCTTGATGCTTGTGGTTTACATACTGTATTGAAAGGTTTGCCAGAGAGAGGCACAGGAGAGCCACATAAACAAACACACACAGGTCCACTCACTGGATGTCGCTTTGGGACGTCATAAACTCCCTCCTTTTGTTGGCTGGTAGGGACCTGGTGTGGACAGGGAGCCCAGCCAAATGCACAGTTAACATGACAAGTTACCATTAGTTCAGATTTCAGCAGGAGATTTTACAAGGTCAATGCAGAATGCAAATTTTATGCTTCCTGGAGAGTAAAATGAATCATTGTCTATGTTCAATGTGATGCGTTTTAATTAATAATGGAAGGGAAGATGCAGAATAATAGAAATTAAATTTTGCTTGAATAATTTCTTTATAATAAATTCTTTATTTATAACAAAAAATATTAATTATAATAAATATTTTAGACAAATAGTCAAAAACCTATTTTATTTTATTTTATTTTATTTTATTTTTTTATTTTATTTTACGATTTCTCAATTCATATAATCTGGTACCATAATGTCCATCTTCACAATACACGGTTAGTAAAGATGCAGATCCATTCATTCTCTGTTATTTCCATGTCTTCTCTTTCTCTAATTTGCCATTGTTCTTAATTTCCTTCTTGCTGAGAGACTGATTGCCGCTGTGTTTTTATTTGATCGTACACTTGAAGTGATCGTTCCATTTCTTTTATTCAAAGATCACACAGTGACAGCAATGATTAATCATTCTCACTCTTTCATTTGGAGAAAGGGTAGAGGAGAGACCTGCTGCTTCCTCTCACAGCAGAGTAATTTCTCTATGCAGACCTTGGAAAGCTCCCTACACTCAGCATCAATCCCTCAGTCATGCTATGCAAACTTTGCTAGAGCCAAAACCACTCGGGATCCAAGGGGCCCGCTGGAGGTCAAGGTTACTTTCGCTGCATACTGTTAGCTTTGGTTAAGGAACTTATCTAGCTATGAGATGCTGTATTGCGTTGTTTTATGAGGTTGGATAGAGATTCTTTTTTTTTTTTTTTACCCTTTACCTTCTAATCAGTTAAGGCAAGACAGGCAAAACTTTTTTATTTTCAGGCACAGGTAAATTTTGAGATTTTGGACTATTTTGCTTCAATTCCTTATTATTACACATGATCTTTTTCCATATGCAGATTTCAATTACAACACACATCTTTAAAGGCAATTTCCTCAAAATAATCCCCCCCTCCTGAACTGAGCCAGAAATGTTCACTTCAGTAGCACTTACATACACCAAACTTCACGGTTTTATTCCAATCTATATTCCGAGGGCTTTTACTGAGGGGGTTTGTTCATATAAAACTTGCCTGATTCATGTAACATTTTATGTAACTTTTTTTTTTTCTGGCTGTTGACAGTATTTTATGATTTATGAAATGAGAAAAAACAGATGCTCAAAAATCCTCTCTGTGAAGCCTTATAACTCAACAAAATGAAAACAAAATTTAACCTGGCTTTATCCGATGTATAGATTTCTGTTCTCGAAATGTATTGAAATTTGTACATTTTTAATTAGACAATTACTCACTTGCATATTTAAACAACAACACACACACACATATATATATATATATATATATATATATATTATTGTACCCTGACCTGTAGTGTTTTGCCTTAAATTTGGGAAATAAATTAGTAAATATTTCACTCACAAAGAGCCATTTTCATTGCTTTTTAAAAGTCCCTGATATTTTCATGGTGTCCATGGTGCTTCACAATATAACCATAATTCATTGCTTCAATTTATGCTATTTATATACATTCAGTCTTTAGTGTGGAAATCTAGAGAACACAAATCTTGTTGTGTTCATTTAGGTTTTCCTATTTCATCGCTGTTAGCAAAGATCAGAAGTGATGTTCACGCAGAATCGATCTGACTGGGCCAATCTGGTTTTTTTTTGTTTGATATGAGATGCGATCAGGTGTTAGCTGATCCTTTTTTTTAATGATGTGACAGCAAGCAGATGTCTCTTTCATGCTCCCGAGTTTCCGATGTCTGTCCTGATGTCAGCAACAAGTGCAGGAGTTTGCGAAGTGTCAGGTTAGCGCTCGAGAGCCGTGCACACATTTGAATAGTTAGAAGGTATAATTCGGTCCCTAATGGTGTTTCAAACTTTCAAAGAGCTACTAAACTGATTGTGACGTTAAGTCGGATATGTATAAAGTTCTGGAGGAGACAGACTGGCAAAGTGTTGGGGGGACTGATGTGTTTATTGTTTTGCTTGGCAGCGTTTCTTTTTGACTCAAGCCACAGGTGACAAAACAAAGCAGCACCTGAGGATACAACACCTGCTGTTGTCTTGGTCATGGCGCTCGGAGCACGAAACATTGCTGGGTGTAAATCTTTGAAAGGGCCGTCACGCTGAATTAGTGTGGCTTGGCGTAGCACTCTGTTCTAATTCACAGGTGGGACTCTGGCAGCTACACAGTGGAGCTGTCAGTAGCTGCACCATCAAAACCTGGGATTCTTCTAAAGAAGAATGGTGGTTTATTTAGAGGCTCCCTATTGGCTGTTTGGCACAAAAACCTCGGTTGGTCCTTGATAGCTTTTAATGATCGGTCTATGCTTGATGTATTAGGTTTATCAAATTGATAGATTGTATTGTGTAGTGAACAACAACCAATTTCAAAACTCCCTAAATAAATAAAACAAAGATTATTATAAATACTATTTCAGTCTTTCTACTTCAAAATTTGAAGTTTAATTCAATGCGTTACTTGCTTGTTTTTTTTTTTATTTTTGTGAAATTTCCTAGCTATTTCTGTTTGATAGTTGTCCAAGTAAATCCTACACCTACACTTTTTTTTTATTTTATTTTTTTAGTATAGGTTCCTTTCAAGCAAGGGAATGATCTGAAAAACACAATTGACACAATTTAACACAATTTAAAATATTAATTAGATGACATAATCCCTTTTTGTAATTACAAAAGAAAAAAAAAGAAAAAAAAGTATTTATGAGTGAAATTTGAGAGTGAACCTCAAACTTCATTCATTCATCCATTCATCCAATGATTCATTCTTTCTTTCTTTCTTTCTTTAATTATTTATTTGTTTGTTTACTTGCTTGCTTGTTTGTTTATGCATTTTGGGCAGAACTTGTAAAATAGGTATTTGACAATATTAATATATTATATTAGCATACTATATTATATTGAAATATGATTAAATATATTATAACATTAGTATAACATTATAGTAATTTATGAATTTATTGTTAACTTTTTTATTTAATTAGTCAATTTCCATACTTCTTTTCAACATTTTTAATGAACATTTTTAACTCGTAAATTATAAATCGCTCTTTTAGAGCTTAGAAACTTCCAGAAATGCTGTCACATTTTCAAACCCCCCCCCAAAACATAATTTTATCTAGACATTTGCTACTCTGAACTGTTTATTTGGTTTATTATGTTCTGTACTATATTAATAAAAAGCTAAATTGTTTTTAGTGATGAATGTGTATTATAGTTTTCATTGCACACTAATATTGAAATGTCCGATTAAGTGATAATCAGTGAAAAGGCACCATTTTTTAAGAACATTATTATGATTTGGTAGTGTACCTGATATATGCTCTCCTCTGATTGGTCACGGATGGGCTCGTGTCCCGCCTCAAATACAATGTACTACAACATCGGCAGCAGAGGAAGATAAAAAGGCAAAGGGACAGGAAAACGGTGAGTGTGAAAAGAAAAAAGAAAAGAGAAAAGGAAGAAGACTGATTGATCACACAGAATCAACAGCGGCCCCAGGAGCAGCGCAGTGACCCTCGCAACAATGAGGGACTAAACGAAGCTGTGACATGCTTACCATCTTGACCTTTAGCAACATGCACTGGCCTAGCAAAGCGTTTCGGTCGCTTGAGTTCATCTTTCACTGCAACTACAACTTCAGTGCAGAGAATAACATTCACTCTCTGCAGCTTAATAACAAATAAGAATCCTTACGGAGAGAAGAATTACAAGGTGTTCTTTCTAACCTATGCCTCATGCATATATACTAGGCTTTAAAATGTTTATCATCCCAATTTTTTTCCTCTATATCCGTACCCGTTTCTGGGCGATGGTATGAATTTTACAACATTAAAGTGAAATAAAACAGTGTATAACACAACGCTGCATGTTTCTTTAATGAGGCATGCTAATATTAGCTTAGCATGGGTAACAAAACTTTCCCAGCTGAGCCACTAAGATTTAAGACTATTTTTGAAACATCTAAACCTATATCTGCGATATATTCCTCAGTGATTTTTGTCGAGTAGCATTCAAGCTAATCGCTAACTCTTGTCCTTTCAAGACCGCATTTATGTTAATGGCAGAATCGTCTCCATTTTCTGTGACATTAGATCTAATGGCTTAGCCGTTCCCATTTTCAAGCTACTGTCGCCATTGGCTAATTCATTTTGTTACACAGTTAGCCACTGGCTAATTCTTCTCCTCTCTAGCCCTCTTAACAGCAAATTGATAATGCTTATCAGGTCTGCACTACTTCTAGTAATGATTAAATCTTAAGTTAACTGCAAGGCCTAGAAGCAACGTTTCTCATTTCTCTGCTACTAATGGCTAATGGGCATCCAGTCTTGCTATTTAAAGACACACTCCAATCATAAACATATTCCATAGGATACAAGGCTATTTCATTCCCATTATGATGCACAACGGACAATACGGAAAGGCAATGTAATGCATGTAAACACACACACACACACACACACACACACACACAGCCCAGATGAAATGTGTTAAAGCTGTCTGTTTTCAGTACAAAATTAAGGAGGCTCCCAGAATCGCTATAGCTTCACCCAGTTTATGAAAAGGAAAAGTTAACAACACATTACAGCAATGATTCACCGTTTATTTCTATATCCAAATGATGAAATCCCAGTCTTATTAATTCAGGAGGAGTGAGAGAAGAGCAGAGAAAATGGAGTGGAATTATTTATTTCTGGAAATGAGATTAAACACATATTATTGAGCAGGGAGCCCTGTTTAAAGTGACAGTGAGAGGCACACTAATTTGACAGCATACGTTCAGGCAGACATAATGATTAACGATTTATTTCAAAGCGTTACCTGATATACGGGATCCTCCACATCTTCCTCCAAAATGGTCTGCAGGAGCGATCGCACAGAGAGGAGGTGATTGGAGGAAGGAGAGTAGAGATAGAGGGAAACAGGAGAGAAGATGACGGCGAGAAAAAGCAGCCAATTTTTGGTCATTCATGTAAAAACAGAGGAAAAGCATTTTTGACATCAGGCAGTGAAAATAGGAACAGAAGTGTAGCCAGCACAGGCCAACAGGTGTGATTTTGTCTGTATTGAAAAAGCAGTGTGAAGTAAATCACCCCGCAGATATGCACCTGAGATTCAACAGACAGAGAAAAGGAAGTGGAAAGAGCTGCCAAGCGCTTGATGCGCACTGTACAATTTTGCCTTGGTTTTTCTGTCTGAAATAAATTTCGGCAATCGGAAAATTATTCCTGGTTGTTACTGGTCCTACAACGCCTATTAAATGTACAAGTAATGTAATGTTAATATTGCTGTAAAAATTTTTTAATTAAATAGATGCAATATTTAATACATATACAGCATGATATATATATATATATATATATATATATATATATTGCATAATGTATGTTCTGAATGTAATCACTGTTTATTGATAATATTAATTCTAAATAAACTCAAATACAGACAACTGCACAAATAAATAAATAAATAATTTAATACATACATACATACACAAATGTAATATGAATAGTGATGTATTAATTAGATTTAAGATTTTAATAGATGTAATATTATGCTATATATACATAAGTCAGTGTTTAGAAAAAAAAATATTTTTTTGATAAATGATAAAAAAATGATAAATACAGACAAAAACAAATTAATAAACGCATAATATAATACATACTTTAATACAAACTAATATAATATAAATAAACAGTAATAATATAATTTAAAATACTATAAAATCTAATAAATTACACATATATTTTGCATAATATACCTATGATAATAAAAGTGTAACTGTTTACAAAATAAAAATCATATCAACCATAATCAAAAAATCAATCATAAAATAATATTCAAAATAAAATTAATTCATATATATATATATATATATATATGCATTTATGAATACATTTTATTTTGAATCAAAAGCTGATTCAAAATTATTATTATTATTTTTTTTTTTTACCAAAGATTAATTTTCAATCTGACAAGCAACAGTTGTAAAAGGAAAAAAACTTCACCATACATCAGTCCTCATATAAATCTAATTACACTATTCTCTGAGATAAATAATAAATAAGCTTTCATCCTTTTATGTTGCATATTTCATCATTCCCTTTTGAGCTTGTTGTTGTTTTCTTTTACACCGCTCTCATTCGCCCGCTGACGTATATGCGGTTGTATTTCTGACCGAGCATTAGAAACTGTAAATTCTCTTTGGTGTTTTGAGTTTATGTGAGTATGAAGGTTTTGTGCGTGTGTGTTACCTGATAAACAGCTTGTTCGCACTGCTTGTCCTTCTGAGCTTTCTTCTCGATTTCCTCCCTCTGCTTAATCTCATAAATCAACTGGAAAAGGTCACGGAGGTCAAGGATCACAGGCTCAGCCTGGGAACACATGCAGAGAGACACAGATTTATAGAGACAACGAGGGAGAAGTGACATGATCTTCTCAATAAGGGTCCATTCTGAAGAGCTGCTGCACATTTCTTCAAGCAATTCAGAGCAAAAGTATCTTGGAAAAGACATAACGAGGACCTCTTAACCTCTGCTTCGGCTGCTCTTAAATCTGCCAGATGAGAGGTGACAGAACAAAGTGCTTTCCATTTGAAAGGGCTGGGTCAGATCAAACTTCTCTCTTTGTGGTTAGCATCAAAGCTAAATGTTAGCATTAAAAATGCATCTCCTGCCCAGTGCACTAATATTTATTATCTAATATCACTAATATTTCAGTAAATACATGGATGAAAATTTGAAGCGAACGCTTGCCCTCAAAATCCGCATTCGGTATTTTTCTGCTGTCTATACTCCAGAAGATTCACGCTAATGAAAAGCAATATGAGCAGATGAAAGAAAGAAAGAAAGAAAGAAAGAAGAACCCAAAAATCGAGGAATAAATTAAAATAATAAAATAAAATAATCTGTTTGTTTTAATTAACCCCTGTAACATAAAGCATTAATTGAGGGACAGTAGAAATAAAAATACATAAAACTAAATGAAACAAAACAAAATAAAATAAAATAAAATCTATCTTTTTGTTTTAATTTAAATCAATCCTTGTAACATAAAGCATTAATTGAGGAACAGCAGAAACGAAACGAAACGAAACAAAAACAAAACAATATAAAATAAAATAAAATAAGATAAAATAAAATAAAATCTGTTTGTTTTAATTAAAATCAATCCTTGTAACATAAAGCATTAATTGAGGAACAGCAGAAACTAAACGAAACAAAAACAAAACAATATAAAATAAAATAAAATAAGATTAAATAAAATAAAATCTGTTTGTTTTAATTAAAATCAATCCTTGTAACATAAAGCATTAATTGAGGAACAGCAGAAACAAAACAAAACAAAACAATATAAAATCAAATCAAATCAAATCTATCTGTTTGTTTTAATTAAAATCAACCCCTGGAACATAAAGTCGTCCGAAATAGTACATAGTAGTACTTGAGTGCAGAAAGAGGAGAAGAGAAGCCAAAAAGAAAAAAGAAAAAAAAAAGTGAGTGAAAACAGTTTTTTGGTGGGATGGAGCATGAGCGCAGGAGCATGCTGCCATTCCTTTATCTTTCTGTGTTTCCTGGGTCACTTGTAGTTCAGAGCAAGACAGCGATGGATAGAGGGAGAGAGAGGACAGCAGATACTCATCGACCCGGTATGGAAATCAATTGAGCAACTGCCACAGAACTGCAGCACTGCAGACTAGAGCAATGCAACAACAAAGAACAGCAGCAGAAACAGACTCAAGACAGAGACACAGAGATCAAGCCTTTCCAGAGGAGCAGAATCTGTCATAGTAGCAAATATACTCGCAGTCCTGAAATATACTTGTGGATGCATAGTGTACATACAACACACACATACACAGTCTAATTTTCAGGTGTGAGTACTTACAGACTGAGCCGTTTTGATGGCCACAAACCGATGGTTTCCCTCTTTCCCACATACATAACCAAAGGCTCGGTGGTCCGTGATATCCTTCGCAATGTAGGAAATCTCATGAACTGCATGGTGGTGCTGAAGAACCTGTGGATAAAAACCAGAGGACCTTTAGAGCTGCATATACAGCTTGATGAGAAGATAGAGTTTAGCTCTCATATTATATTCAGATATTCAGACTGCCTGAATAACGGTACAAACATGCTTAAAAAACAAAGCACATGTGAGTAACTCTACACTACACAAGAAAGTCAGATTGCTTGGTGGCCATCTTGGAAACACAACCAGGCTGTTGTTTTCTTTGGAGGTAACAGGCATAAGTATAGCTCCTATGTACTTGAATAAGGAGAGACTGTAATAAAGAAAAGGACAATAAAATACAGTAATACAATCTGAAAATAATAGCTTTTTTGCTGAAAACATGCTTTTTGTTTAGCTCAAATCATGCTAAAATAATAATAAAAAATATATATATAAATATAAATTATAACAAAATTTAAAGCAATTGGCTATTTAAACTGAAAGCTGAGACTTCCAATCATACACTTAAGTAATTTGGTAATTTTTGTCCTTTTATTTTCTGACAAATGGACCACATTTATTTTATTTTATTTTTATATTCTATTTTTCTTTATTTTATTTTATATTTTATTTTGTTTTATCTTACTGTTTAACATTTATTTTAGCTTACATTTTTATTTTATTCTATTCTATGTTAAATTTTATTTTATTTTATTTTATTTTATTTTATTTTATTTTATTTTATTTTATTTTATTTTATTTTATTTTATTTTATTTTATTTTATTTTATTTTATTTTATTTTATTATTTTATTTTATTTTATTTTATTTTATTTTATTTTATTTTACTCCACACCCCCCCTTATCTCAAGCATGAGTTTTGCGACTGACATAAATCAAACAAAATTTTATGGTCAACTGGAACCCAGGTGTGTCCAAAACCTCTAGTGTGACAGCAACAAAGTTATGTTTAGACATTGATTTTTCTTATTTGAGTTCAAACTCTATGACTCCCTTTTTAAAAGGACTCAAGCATGATTTTTGGTGCCTACCTGAGTTTTGCAGCTGACACCAATCAAACCAACCAAACTTTACGGTCAACTGAACCCAGCTGTGCACCAAAACCTCTAGTTTGAAAGCGACAAAGTTACATCCAAACACCAATTTAAACTTACAAATCCAAGCATAGCTACAAAGACCTTCAGAAATGGCATTCAATCACCGAACGGACATTTAAACGAAGGGGGACATTAACCCAGAGAGGGGATCGGAGGACAGAAAATAGGTCAAAAGCTCGGAGCGAGTCGTGCTCCAGGCTGATGGCTGAAACACCGGGGTCTCGGCACTAGTGTCAGCCTCCTGCCGCTGAAGAGCAATCATCGTCTGAAATCTACTGCAAGTGGCAATCTTCCCCTCACCACCCACTTCATTTAGAGTCATTAAAACATCACTAACACAATACACACGCCACACGCCGCACGCACAGGGAGAAGGAGAGACGCACCACCATGGGCCCAGCAGTTAACTCGAGAGTTGCAACAGTGGATGACATCTTATGACAACCCGTCTGACTGCGAGGTGCTATTTTCCCTGCTGAAATATGAAGTGTTGTCAGTGACGTGTTAAACAAACTTTGAGAAGGAGGGTTCCTTTGTTAAAAACTTTTGAATGAGGTTAATGGGCAGCTTTCATTATCAAACTAATCATGCCATGTGCCCACGCAAAACTTAATGATTTCACACTTACATCTGAGCGGGATGATTTTCCATTTCCATTTTCAGAGGTGTGACATCCCTTGTGAAAATGAAGTACAGCATACTTTTAGAAAAGAGCATTTATTACAGAAAGAATATACTGAATGTAATATTTCCGGACACTTAATTGACCCTTCGCAAAAACCGCCCCCCTTAGTTACTGTTGCTATGTCCGACAAGCCATGCCGCTCTGACACTACACATCATGTTCTCACGCAGTGAAAAATACATTGCAGAGCAAAGAGAAAACTGACAACGCACCGACAGACAAGACAAAGCAGGTTACTTTGGGTATGAAACAAAGTCTTAGCTTTTAAATACTGTCTTTTTTTAAGAAATTCAAACAATAAATACCGTTTTGTTGCTCTTTAATGTGTCGTGACAGATCACTGTAGTGCCTCAGTTGAAGCGGCACGTGAACCGATCGTCTTTTCATATTTACTTAAAGCACAAAATAAACATGAACGAACATCAGAAGGTATTTTATTTTTTCAAATTGCAGAAAGACGTCATGCATTTGAATGTTTTGTTAGTCTAGCCCACGAGACGCACCGCTGTTGTGTTGTGCATTCAAAATATTAGAGAAATATAGATATTTGTTTAATTTTTATTGTGTTTGATAGTTAAAACAAAAAATATTTGTTGTTTGTCTCAATAAATTGTGTTAATTATAAATACAGTGGTTAAATTTAAACTTTTTTTTTTCTATTGCTTTTTGTTTTAAAAAAGGTTATAAAAATGTCAATAATTATCGATACCGAACGATATGAAACATTATATCGTTGATACATTTTTTAGTTATATCGCCCAGCCCTAGTCAATGCACACCATTTTTCAAGTTTCAGTCCACCAAAGTTAATCTACTCTCCTGTCTGATTTGTTTGTTGGACAAGATGGTGGATTTTGGCCATTGTAATTGGTCAGATCGCCTGTCAATCAAACTCCCGGCGAAGGGTCAATTGCATGTTACATAAAATGACAGCAAATTAAAAAGCATTACAGTTTAAATTTATAATAAATGTAATTAGTAGAACTTAAGTAGGAACTAATTAAATGTGTAATTTCATTATTCCTTTTATTGAAATATAGTTATGTACTGTCCAATGTACAGACAAGCATTTATGGTAAACTAAAATATATTTATTGCAATTTTTATTGAAATTTGTATGTTAGGTATTTACATATATTTGTAATTACACAACTGTAATGAAGTTGCAATTTAAATATATTTACTTCAAATATCACATAACACTACCGTGTTAAAATAATAAAGTATTAGTCAACACGTCAAAATATGTGTACTTCTTTAAAGCATGACAAAAGATGATGAAAACAATGATTTAAAATATATTTTAAAGTAAAACTTTAATTGGACAGTGTACTGTACGTAACTGTGTTGAGAAACAGTCATGAAAGTGTACTCTCTTTGCTCTTTTATTTAGTTAATATTATATTATCTGAAAATACAGTTTTTTTAAAATATGTTTTAAAATTTGAAGTACACTAAAAGTGCACATTCAATACATTTAAGTGCACTACTTCTTTCACAAGGGAGTAGCTTAGCTTTTTAAAAGTAGCATAGCTTCTATTTTCCTGGCAGCATTTAGTTGATTTTAGTAGATTTGTTTGCACACTAGAATGAATTGGCTAAAAAAAAAAAAAAGAAATTCACTGATTAATTTAATTCCCTGTGCTGGGATTATACGTCATCTTTTCGTTGTGTCTCCATCTCTGGTTTCATCAACACCGGCTCACACTTTTTGATTTTAGATACACTTATTTTACACCAAAACAAATTCATTCATAATGTAACTTGAAAGAAAATTTCCGGCTTCCCAGCGAATAAATTGCTTGTTTTTCAAGAATGCTGCTTGTAATACAAAAAGAAACAGTCCCACCAACTGCATACTTTAATCTTTCAAGTGCTTTTCTGGGTTTTAGATGCAAAATCTTCTGCATATAACTGCGTTTCCATTCCTTCTGGGCAGTTTAAAATTGGAAGCATAGAAAATCCTTGAAAGATTAATTACTTGTGTGCCTAATTCATTCATAATGTAACTTGAAAGAAAATTTCCGGCTTCCCAGCAAATAAATTGCTTGTTTTTCAAGAATGCTGCTTGTAATACAAAAAGAAACAGTCCCACCAACTGCATACTTTAATCTTTCAAGTGCTTTTCTGGGTTTTAGATGCAAAATCTTCTGCATATAACTGCGTTTCCATTCCTTCTGGGCAGTTTAAAATTGGAAGCATAGAAAATCCTTGAAAGATTAATTACTTGTGTGCCTATTCAATGCCAGCCTTCCTCTAACTAGTTCACAGAATGGAATGTTTGCCGCGAGCTGGCGTAGCGAGTCCTGTGTTATCGCAGCACACGGGCCGCTTTCCATCATAATGACCCACAATCTGCAGGTCATTCGCACATGTAAGAACTCGCGCTCAATAATACACGCGACACCGTACGGCGACGCTTCATCAGAGCTGCATGTTTCAGATTGCCTCCTTTTGTGGCTTCCATTCATTCAAATCATCACAGCGGCCCTACGACCTCTGAAGTCACGCCGGTGCACTGATAATGACACTGTTACCACGGTGATGATACACTGAGCATCACACTTCAAGACCTTTGAGCTACCGAGGTCAGAAAGAGGACACTGTTCCAAAACCTAATGAGCTGCCTACTTAGTTATTAGCATTTTAAGACATCATGTGCATGCTCTTCATGAGAAGGCTGTTCATTGTTATGTTGCCTTTCAAGGTACAACATTCTGGACAAAGCATTAGCTCGTATTTTTCTCAGAGAAGGCCTCCCAGAATGCATTGCATTCTCTAATAAAGTACATTAGTGGCCACAAACTTTTTCAGTGGCAATGGTTCTGGATGCATTTTTTTTTCACATTTTTTTTTTTTATATTATTATTTTTCCCAAATAGGGACTTTTAAAAAGTCTTTGTTAAAAGCCATGAACCAAGCCAACCTGGTTCAAGGTAAATCACTTATTATTATATCTTATCGAATTAAACATAATCAAATTAAAAATTATGGAGAAATATAAAACTTTATTGTATCTATAGAAGCTAAACATTTGACTTTTGTTGGTAAAAAAAATAATTTAATAAAAAAATTATATTGCGTTTGCTTCATTGGAGTGGGCGGAGCTAAAGAGCTAATTTGGCGCACTTTGCAAATGATTGGTGAAATTTTCTGTGCAGCATCATGGGTAATGTAGTTTTTCTCCACAAATTTAGCTGTTAAACATCTATTAAAGGGGTCATATGATGCTTTTTTAAAGATCATTATTTTGTGTATTTGGTG